CATTAAAAATGTAGGGAAGCATAAGCCGGTTTAGTCATCCAAGGTTTAAAGGCACCACAGCAACCCCTGGCTGAGGTTCCTTAGCTTTCTTGGCATCTGGACTTGAAGAATACCTTCAGGACCAATTGTCAATGGTTGTATTATATTAGTCTGATAAATGCATCGGTTATGACTCATCCTTTGCTCGCCACTACTATAAGTTGAAAATTTTTTAACTGAATTTCCAGTATGAAATATGGAGGCTTAGGGGACTTAAGGGAGCATCTATGGCCAACATCTGCTCAGCCAGACCTTGAGAACCACTGAGAGCTATGTATGGGAGAACAAGCATGGAAATCAGTCTGCCAAGACAGGACAAAGTTAAACAGGGACAGGAGCCACAGAGATGAAGAGAAGGGATGAAGGGAAGTGAAGAGGAGGAGAGGGTCCTGAGAAACTAGGTGGCTAACGATGCCACAAACCAACATGACATAAAGATGCCAGCCGACCTTTATTTTAATCATATAGTAAATATTTCTTGAGCATCTAACATGGGACAGGTACCGTGCAAAATGCTGATACGATAGGAAGAATGGAATAAGGAGGAAATATAGAAAGAAAAGAAGAATGGAGTTAGGAAATGTTTTTGTTTTTTTTGAAAGGGAGAAGTATAAATGAAAATCGTAAACTCATTCGGAGAGAAGCTAAGTTTGAGGGGAAGTCTAATGGGCAGAAGGAACTTAGGATAATTCAAGAAAATGATCAGATTGAGACATTCATCTGTATAAATATACTTACTTCTTCCCATCTTTTAAAATAAAAATCTATTCTTTGGCCCTACAACCCAACGCAGTCATTGCCCACCCCATGCCCCCTGAAAGGCACAGTCTTAGAATTAACAGCTCCCTCTAGATGCTTCTTCACTTCTCACTCATGCATCATTTTAACCAAGGTCACCAGACCACCACCACCCAGCAGTCACTCTGAAAGGTCTTCGCCCACACCTGAAACCATCAGCCATGCCCTTCTTCCAGGAAAGCCTCTTCCCTTGAATTCTGTATCCATGACAGAAAATTCTGTGTGAGCTTCAGGCCCAATTTAACCAGTGCTTGGCACTGTGAAGAACACCAGCACGGGGTGAAGAATGAGTTCCCTCCAAGTGGCATGGCGAGTATGCAATGGGTAGGGTTGGCTCCCACAGATCATACACTGGGTGCGGGTAAGAAGATGGGAAATGAACACTGAGTAGACAATCAAAAAACGTCTACTACAGGGTCTAAGGTTTCTCTCCTACAGCTGTGACAATTCCTTCTCAAACTCCCCTTAGCTCTCCTTCTTTGTGCACTGTGTACAGCTGTGGACACAGAATATTCTCTATGCATACATCCAAATGGCCACTGGAGTTTTCTTCTTTTACCAAAATGATTATCATCTGGGGAACGTTTCTAAGTTCACACATACGCTCCATACCTCAAAACCAACAACTCTGATATACCCCCAAAACTGATCGAACTCAAGGTAGAAGACCGAGATGGACAAGAACCGGGGTCTGTGGATCTGGAAGCCCTCGAGGACATTCCGATCCAGTTCTGCATGTCCCACCCATCACTCTATCTCTGTTAAGAAGCCCATTTTGTCAAAGCACCACTGGGCAGGAAGGAAAACATCGAGTTCTAAGCAGGGAGAAATTTTTTCTCAAAGTAATATGGGACATGATTTAAATCCTAGGATTTATTTATTCAACTTCTGATACCAAAACTACAACCAGCCAACTGATAATTCTGAAATATGTTTATAAAAGAAAAACAAATATTCATTATTCCTCCGACCTTTAAATATATTTATGTGTCCTCCCCCAGAACACATACACACACACATACAAAGAAGATTAAAACTCCATTTTCAACCATTAAAAATGATGCTTGGCCTAAGTTTAAGTGGTATGGGGGAGTATGAAGAAATTTAGCAAGAAATGCCAGAGAAAGGGCAAAATTTCTCATCTTTAGAAAACCATGGTCTATACTTTATAACCAATGTGTCAGATGTTTTAGTTTTTGACCTAGAACCAGAATTCAGTTTTCTCACAAGCAGAGAAATGTGCCCACATTTGAACTCTTAATTTTGGTGCTTGATTCTTTATATTCTTTACTACTAAATGATACTCGAGAAGCATCCAGTTTGTAGTTGAATTTAAACATTACAGATAATAAAACATCAGAAAGTCAATGTTTAACAGAAAAAATGAATTGAGATTACCAACAACGTACTAAAAATCACACACATATCATCATCATCTATATCTGGGTAATTCAGGTATTTGTGTGCAGAAATTATATATATATATATTGTATGTGTATGTATATGTGTATATCTCCACTATACATTTATATAGTCAAAGAATTAAGAATGGGAAAAATCCATAGTATGAACACGACTTTTATTGATGGATAAATAGGCAATTATCTGCCTTTCTTCATATTTTGGGTTTGTTTTTTTTTTTTCAAACTTTCCACCATGATCACTCATTGATATAAAAGGAAAAAGTAACTTTCCTTTTATCCCATATATAAACATTTAGATTTTTACGACGTGCATTTATCACCTTATATCAAAAAAGCCAGTTGCACACACCCTCGGGCACCAAAATAACCCATACAGTAAAAAAAGAAAAGAAAATAGAAAGAAAAGGAGAGAAAAATTCAGCTTCTTTTCTAAATTAAAGCTGTTTACTAAGGAAAAAGAAAACAAAATCTTTTTATATCAATATTACTACCTATACTCTTCAAGTCGTTCAGCTTTATAATTTTTTATTTGGGTTTTTTAGCTCTCCTCTTCTCTATTTCCTTAAATGTAGAGCTTCATCAACCCAGCATACATGGACGTGCACACTTACCCATGCCTGCCAACACACGCGCACGCACGCGTGCACGCATACCACCCGTAACACATGCATCTAAGTCTCTGACCATAACAGCAATCACCAAAAAAATGATTCTCCCCAAACCACCGATGCTCTCTCGGGATTCTGGGCTTCCTCTCCTGTACATGGGGTAACCAAGCCTCCAGTGGCATCCACTACTCTATTTCGTTTTTTTTCACGGGAAAGGCTGTGTTGTGTTTAAAGCAAACTCTTGATTATGCACACCAACGAAGGTGAATGCTGGAGCAGATACGTGTTTGGCACTGACTGCATTTTGCTTAGACTACCATCAAAATTAGTTTGTGTTTCCCCAAACACACATGCAGCACAGAGAAGATACAAGAACTGGATGGATTTCTGGGTGATGGACACACTGGCCGAAATGGAAAACAGGCCTCAGGTAACACAAAAAGAGAACGTTCCATGTTCGTAACCCCGAGAGCTATTTGTTTAAAAATAAATTTATGTCCAAATGTGTGCGCACCCATCTCTCACACAACTCCCATCTACATACTACATATCGACGTGGCCCGATTATCATGCCTAAATGCTGCACCATGCGCCATGATCAAATGGCATTAAAAGTGCAAAGGAACTAAGGAACACCTTCTGTATCTGTAATACCCCAGCTGAATGGTAAGTAATAGAGCTCCGATCCAGGAAGCACAAAATTTTGGCAACTCCTTCTCCTGTTTCCTAAAGTTGGAAAAAAAAATTTAATGTAGATATAAAAGATGGCTTTTTGTACCTCTTCTGTACGCCAGCGCTTCCGAGGGCAGAAGGAAGCAGGCTTGTCTCCCCTGTTTTTTCCCCCCACTAAGTTCAGCTGCTACCCACAGTGGGGTTTCCTTTTAACCGTTTTGATTCTGCTCCTCTGACTACTCCACCTACTCAAAGTTTTCCTTATAATGCTGCTCAGGGAGCAAGTCCTCAAGTGCTGAGCTGCCCTGATGAACAAATAGTGAGTAGGACCAGGACATGAAGCTCCCTTAGCCCATGAATGGGTTCATTCAATTCTAATAACCATACAGTGTTTTCTGACATGAACTGCTTCAAGTCCTACCTTTCCTGTTCCACACATATACAGAATTCTCTTTTTTGTTTGTTTGTTTGTTTGTTTTCCTCAAACTCTGTGTAGGACATGACATTCTGCTTTTTATACATTATGAAACAGTTTCTGCCTGCCATCCTGGGCTGCTGAGGTTATTCAGAGTTTGTACTGAACGTCCTACAGGTCTCCCACTCAGATATGATATCTAATTTCATAAACTGTCAGTAGGGCTAATTTAGGAACAAGAAAAAAGTAATTAAAGGCTGCAGAGGAAAGAAGAACGGCATAGATTAGCAAATACAAGAGAGGCCGAGCGGGCCAGGGAATCCAGAATTCTAATGGCCTCTGAACTGGCACAATCCCCAGACTGATACATCGCTGCCAATGGTGTCTAGGAAGCATTCCGTACCTTTATTTAAAAAAAAAAAAAAAAAGACAACTTCCTTAAAAAACACACACACATACACACGCAAAAAATGTTCTATGGTTTCTCTTACTTACTGAGTCTTAGGTAACAGAGAAACTATATTCTCACATAAAAAGTGAGTGCTCCGTGTAAGTTATCATGCCACTTATTCTAAGGTACTGAGCCATTTGTAGTGTAAACTATAAACATTCTCCCAGTTATGTTCATTAATTAACATTCTTTTAGAATGTCTGACCAGCTTCCAGTCCAGCCTACATGTATCTCACGCTTTCCCAAAGACAGTTCACTTTTTCACCCTCAAGACTTTCAAACCGTTTTATTCTCATATTTAGTTGGCTTCCTCTGGTTCCTGAAGTTCATCCTTCTCCCACAACATGCTTTCAGCCATACAATTTGACCAAGAAATTAACATTAATAATGAATAATTTCTGTTCCCAAAACACTATGCTGTGCCCTTAGCCAAAGAATCACCCAAGGCTGGACTTTAGGCAAGTTATATACAACTCTGAACTTGGCTCCAAATAGATAATAATAAAGGAGATGAGAAAACGTCAACACCAGCATATGTATGACTCGCTTCGGTAAAAATACATAGACAAAACCTATATTTAAAAGTCAGTTACGTCTACGGCCATGCAACCCTGAATGTGCTCGATCTCGTCTGATCTCGGAAGCTAAGCAGGGTCAGGCCTGATTAGTACTTAGATGGGAGACCACCTAGGAAGACCAGGTGCTGTAGGCGTGTTAAAAAAAAAAAAAAAAAAGTTGGTTACATGAGAACAGATGCATGCTCAACATCATTAGCCATTAGGGAAATGAAAATCAAACCATAATAAGATACATCTTCACACCCACTCAAGTGACTATAATCAAAAGACAGACAACAGCAAGTATTGGCAAGGACATAAAGAAATCGGAACCCTCATACGCCACTGGTGGAATGTAAAATGGTACGGCCGTTTTGGAAAACACTCTGGCAGTTCCTAAAAACAGTAAACCTTAAAGTTACCATATGATCTAGCAATTTCATGCCTAGGTAAATGATAACATATGTCCACACAAAAGTTTGTACATGAATGTGTCGTGGCAGCATTGTTTGTAATAGCCAAAGTGTGTAGAAATAACCCAAATGTCCATTAACTGATGAATGGATAAATAAAATATAATATACCCATATGACATAGTATTACTTTGCAATAAAAAGAAATGAAGTGCTGATACAGACCATGCCATAGACGAAACTTGAAAATATATGTTAAGTGAAAGAAGCCAGTCACAAAAGACCATATATTGTATGGTTCCATTTATATCAAATGTCCGGAACAGGCAAATATGGAGACAAAATAGGTTAATGGTTGCCTGGGGATGGGGACACGATGAGGAGAGTTGGAGGAAAATGAGGAGTGACTGGTAATGGATACGGAGTTTCTTTTGTTCTAAAAACGATTGTAGGATGGTTATAAAACTCTGAACGTACTAAACACTATTGAAGCATCCACTTTAAATGGATGAATTGTATGGTATGTGAGTAATAGCTCACTAGAGTTCTTTAAAGAAAAGTTCCATTAGAAGATAATCAATCCCACTACTAGTCATGATAAAAAGAAAAGGAATGTACTTGGTATCCTAGTTTTTCTAGTTCATTAAAATGTCGGTCAAAATCCTAAAATGAACACATATACAACTTTCATAAAGCAGCTGTACATTTAATTCAATACAACTTGCATTACACCAGATAGTTAAAACTGGGGCTTTGGAATCAGAACTAGGTTTGAATCCCAACCCCGCCACTCACAAGTTGAATGACCTTGGATGCCCCAGTGAACTTCTCTAATCCTCAGTTTCCCTATATATAAAATGAGAAAAATAATAGTGCCTCTCCCACTGGGTTGTTGTGAAAATAAAGAAAATAACTCTTATAAACTGATAAGCAAGTGCCTGGCACAGAGCAGCACTCCAATACTAACTTTATAAATATACAGATACAATCATACATAAAACTAACAGCAAAACCAACAAGTGCTTATGTGCGATATATCGAACCTTTTGAGAGAACACAGAAAATGCAGGTCCCTTCTTCAATTATAATGCCAACCAGTGAAATAAAACACTATGTTAATCAATAAGTGTGATACACCACGTAAATAGATTTGTGTAGAAAGAGATACTTAAACTGAGTCAGGTGGAAATTCCCGAATTAAGAAAATGAAAAGGGAGAAAGAATGGAACAAAATGATAAGCAGCTCTCATAGGCAACGCTTTAGCTAGCTCTTATGCAAACACCAGAAACCCATGAGGCTTGAAGTCTCAGCCCTCGTCAGTGCATTGTGTAGCTCTATGAAAAACCACAAGGAAACATGGAAAACACCGCCTAAAATCACAGGGGACACAAAGCATGACTATGTGGGCTCACACCCTATTCAGTACCAACCTAAGGGCAGGAAGAAATGAACAGCAGGAAGATTATTTTGACAAGGTCACACTGGCAAGTCAAACACATAAAGTCTCCAATCTCAACATTTCTGACCACTAGCTATCAGACTTCGTTGTATCTCATTAAAGGCATTAAAGAATAAATTATTATGGACAGAGCTTGACAACCTCTTAGCAAGTCTTTGGTTTGTTTTTTCTCCAAAGACGAACTAACGCCAATAACACTGTTGGCTAAGGGTAGACAGTAAGAGGGATGGAGCGCACTGATGAGACCAAGTTGAACTATCCAGGATCTTTCTTTTCATACTATATAAAACTATTTCTTTTAAAAAGATTGTCAGTCAATTGGTGATATGTGAAATGAGATAATAAAGGTCAAGGTCTTTCCAGATGGTTTCACTGATGAAGTCTACAAACCTTTAAAGAACTTATGCCAACCCATCACAAACTCTTACAAAAAACTAAAAATGAAGAAATACTTCCAAACTCATTTTATGAGGCCAGAATTACCCTAATACCAAAGACAGACCAAGACTCTACAGGCAAAGAAAATTATAGGCCAAGATCTTTGATGAAATAGATGTAAAATCCTCAACAAAATACTAGCAAAGCAAATTCAATAGCACATTAAAAGGATTATAAAACATGATCGAATAAGATTTATCACTGGGATGTGAGGATAGTTCAATATTTGTAAATCAATAAATGTGATACACCACATAAATAGAAGGAAGGGGGGAAAAAATCATCTCAATGGATGCAGAAAAAGAATTTGACAAAATTCAACATCCTTTCAGGATAAAAACTCTCAATAATTTAGGTATACAAGGGTTTGTGACAAGCCCACAGCTAACATCATTCTCAATGGTGAAAAACTGAGTTTTTTGTTTAAGACCGGGAGCAAGACAAGGATGTCCACCCTCACCACGTCCATTCAACATATTATGATAAGTCCTAGCCAGAGCTGGTAGGAAAGAAAAGAAATAAATAAATAGTATCCATATTGGAAAGGAAGAAGTTAAATTGTCTCTGTTTATAGATGACATGATCTTATATATAGAAAACCTTAAAGACTCCTAGAAAATTGTTATAACTACAAAGTGAATTAGGTAAAGTTACATGTTAAAAAATAAACGTACAAAACTCAGTTGCATTTCTATACACTAACACCAACTATTCAAAAAAGGAATTAAGAAAACAATTTCATTTACAATAGCATAAAAATGAATAAGATAGTTAGGAATAAATTTACCAAGTAGGTGAAAGAACTGTATGCTGAAAACTAGAAAACATTGATGGGATTAAAGAAAAAATGAAGGAAAAGATAACCTATGTTTATGGATGAGCAGAATTAATAGTTAAAATGTTCCATATTACCCAGAGTGATCTACAGATTGGATGCAATCTCTTTCAAAATTCCAATGGCATTTTTCACATAAATAGAAAAAAGAAATCTAAAATTTATGTACAACCACGGAAGACCCCGAACAGCCAAAGCAATCTTGAGCGAGAAGAACAAAACTGGAGGCATCTTACTTCCTGATTTCAAAATACATCACAAAGCTACAGTAATCAAAACATTATGGTATGGCCATAAAAACAGACATAGAGACCAATGGAACAGAATAGAGAGCCCTGAAATAAACCCCACGCACAGTCAATTAATTTCTGACAAACGGGCCAACAATATACAGTGGAGAAAGGATACTCTCTTCAACACAGCAGTCCCAATTATCCACAGGGGATACATTCCAAGACCACCCGTAGATTACTGGAACCATGGATAGTATCCTATATATACTGTGTTTTTTCCTATACATAAGTACCTACGATAAGGTTTAATTTATAAATCAGACACAGTAAGAGATTAACATTAAGTAACAATAATAGAGAACAACTGTAATGATACACTGTAAGAAGAGGTATATGAATATGGCATTATTAAATAAAATAATGAACATGAGCACCGCGCTACTGCGATAGTCAGTCTGATAACCAAGAAGCTTACAAAGAGACTAACGGGAGGAGCATATACAGCGTGGAGATGCTGGACAAAGGGATGATTCACGTGCCAGATGAGATGGAGGGAGATTTCATCACGCTACTCAGAAAGGCACGCAGTTTAAACTTCATGAATTGCTTATTTCCGAAATGTTCCATTTAATATTTTCAGACTGTGGTTGACCGTAGGTAACTGAAACAGCAGAAAGCAAAACCGTGGATAAGAGGGTGACTACTGGGATTGGTTTGGGAAAACTGAATATCCATATACAGAAGAATAAAACTGAACCTCTATCTCATACCATATATAAAAATCAACGCAAAACAGATTAAAGAGTTCAACATAAGACCTGAAACTGTAAAACTAATAGGAGAAAACATAGGACAAAAGCTTCTTGACATTGGTCTAGGAAATGACGTTTTTTTTTTTTTTAATTGACACGGGCAACAAAGAAAAAATAAACATATAGGAAAACATCAAGCTAAAAGCATCTGCACAGCAAAGAAATGATCAACAGGGTCAAGAGACAACCTAGAGAATGGAAAAGAATATGTGAAAATCATACATCTGGTAAGACGTTAATATCCGAAAAGAAACTCAAACAACTACTTTGCAAAAAAAAAAAAAAAAAAAAGAAAACCCGATTAAAAAATGGGCAAAGGACCTGAACAGGTGTTCTCCAAAGAAGACATATATAGGGCCAACAGGTATATGAAACAATGCTCAACATCACTAATTATCAGGAAAATGAAAATCAAAACCACAATGATACCATCTTACATCTGTCAGAAAGGCTTTATCAAAACAACAAATGACAAGTGTTGGCAAGGATATGGAGAAAAGGGCACCCTTGGGGCAAAGGACCTGAACAGGTGTTCTCCAAAGAAGACATATATAGGGCCAACAGGTATATGAAACAATGCTCAACATCACTAATTATCAGGAAAATGAAAATCAAAACCACAATGATACCATCTTACATCTGTCAGAAAGGCTTTATCAAAACAACAAATGACAAGTGTTGGCAAGGATATGGAGAAAAGGGCACCCTTGTACACTGTTGGTGGGAACTGGTACAGCTATTATGAAAAAACAATGTAGAGGTTCCTCAACAAACTAAAACTAGAACTACCATATGATCCAGCCATCCCACTTCTGGATAGATATCATTCTTTGTAGCATTACTCAAAATAGCCAAGATATGGAACAACTAAAGTGTCTATCAACAAATGAATGGATAAAGAAAATGTAATACGTAGATTCCATTTATATGTATGTGTATATATAGCAAGAATACACACACACAC